TGGTGAACATAGAGTGGTCTCGTTAGTAACCGATAATGAAGCTATTATGAAAGCTTCGAGAAAAAGTTAATGCTTGGTTTGTCCTCACTTATAGTGATTAGCTTGTTCTACTCATTGTTTGGATCTAGTTTTAGAAGACATTGGAAACAATCGAAGGTCAAAGAAGTGATTGAGAAAGAAAAAAAATTATCCAATTTATTGACAATTATAATTGGGTAGTTAATTATATGAAAAAATTACTAATGGGTGTGACTTACTTTGACCCGGCATCACTAGATTTGCCACCAATTTTGTTGCTTTGGAAAGCATTGTTAAGTTTAAGAATGCACTCGAGGAGATGTGGGAGTCGAAGCTTAGAATAATTCTAGATATGGGATAATGAAGGATCGACATGCTATCGACGTTCGCATATTAGTGCTTGTAAAATGTTCCACAAGCAATAAGATTCTAGAAGAAGGTGGGTGAAGTGATAGCCATTGAGGAGCCAATTATAAAGGTTTTGAAATTCGTGGATGGTGATGACAAGTTGACTATGGGGTTCATCTATGAAGCAATGCAAAGAACAAAGTAAAAAATCCAAGCAAGTTATCGATATTCAAAAACATGGTACGACATAATTGATAAACGATGAGAATTTCAATTACATATAGACTTACATGCAATTGGTAAGTATATAAATTTATATAAATTAATCATAACAATCTAAAAATATCTTCAATTATTATTTATACTTAAATATAATTTACAAGTAATGTTATTTACTCTTTTTTTGTAGGTTATTTTTTAAATCCCCAATATCATTATGTACTTCGAGAGAATCCAATTTATCAAGATGAAAAAAGCATGCAAGGTGTCGAAATGCAATTATGAGATTAGAACTCGACATTGATAAGCAAATTAAAACCATCAATGAAGTAAGTTAAATAATCTTGTGAATTGTGATAACATAAGATGCTAAAAATATTTAATATCATATGATATATATTATAATATTATTATAATATTTTTTAATTTAAATATGCAATTGGAATTGTATAGTTTGAAACAATAAACATTTGGTTTAACCATGGCTCAAAAGGTTGTGTATTCAACAAATCCAAGTACTTTATTAATTTATAAAATTTCATATTGTAAACATTATTGGTGTTATTTTTTTTAAATTTATGAAATTTTATTTGTTCAATGTAGCTGAGTGATGGAATAGTTATGGAAATGATGCTCCAACGCTTAGAAAGATTGGAATGCGGATTTTGAGTCAAACAACTTTCGCTTCAAATTGTGAGAGAAATTTGAGCACTTTAACTTAGTGCATATGAAGATAAGAAACGAGGTTGAAGTATCAAAAATTACACACTTGTTTATCTTTATTATGACATGAAGTCGAGGTTAAGAAATACATTGTGGAAGAGTCGAAAGAATTAGAAGAAAGTTTTAATCTAATTAATTTGGATTACATGTTTTATGAAGATGATCCACTTGTCTCTTTGGTTAGAGGAAAATGAACAACCGAGTTCTCGATGGATAAAATATGGATTAGTTGAGTATGCATGATGATGATAACGATGATGACAAAAAGATCAAAACAATTCTAATGATCAAACTAACCTACATGATAGTGATAAGGGTGATAATGATGATCAAGATGAGGAACCTAATGATGCGGGAGCTTCTTTCTTATAACAATAATAACGAGCGGTAACAATGATGGAGGTCGTGAAAAGGGAATAGCTTTTGATAGCGAGTGTCAATCCAATTCTATATAGGCATGGGTAGCATGGTTCTACTCGCACTTATATATGATGCTAGAAATAAAGCACCAATAATAGAACAACAACAATCTAATGGTACCATATTGCATGATCAAGGACATCACTCTGTCTCTTCGAAGATAGTTCGACTTCTAACTTCAATTATGGTCAACGACAATACTACCACCAATACGGTCCACAAGTATATGGTTATGTATTTTATGATTCATAAGGAACTTCATCGGACCGATCAATTTCAAATCCACAATATCCTCGGGAAATTAGATCATCCATTACTACTTCATTATTAGGGCAATTGAGTTTGGAAGGATAATATGGTTATGGTTGTAATTTTGATAGACCGGAATCACAACATCAATAACAAGATGATAACTATTATTATGATCCTCGACGACGATCTTTTTGGAGATGAATATTTTTTAATTTGTATATTGAAATTATAATGTATTTTATTATTTTTCATGTGATATTAATATATTGAAATTGTTATTAATTATTTTTTATAATAAATTTAACTATTGTTATATATTATTAATCTATTAGAGATATGATTACTTATTATTATGTTTAATTAGTAAAGCTGTCAAAAAATATGAATTAGAATAAATTTATTACCGAGTTGCTAATGTATTCACACAATTAACTATCGCGATCGTTATTTTACGATCGTGATGAGTCGCGACTCTGCGATCGAGATCGTTTTTTCAACCGCGATCGCTATTTAAAACTATGGTTCACTCTATGAATCTTTTACTATCCTATTCTTTCTTCTTTTATTAAGAAAATATTTGCTCAGTATTCTCAGTATTCGGTCTGTCTCCTTTTTTTTTAATAAAAAAAAAACCCGCGAACCCTAAAGACTGTCCTCTCCTTATCCTTGGGTGGCCAAGCTTTTAAGACTCTTTTGAAGGCTCAATCCCTCTCTATCTCTCAGTTTTTAACTTCACACCTTGAAAACCAAGAAACCCAACCTCTACTAGGTATTTCTCAGACAATCAGGCTTCTATCATCCGTATGTTTCTCTCGGTTTTCTACCTCTCAAAAAATAGGACGCTTCAACGAAACCTCCTCTTTTTTTCATCTGTTTTACTCTCGGTTTTATATCCTAGTCGCCAACATTTCTCCACCCTCAGATCCTTTTCATATCATCAAGACCCTTCCTTTTTTCAACATAAGGGACGATCCATTCTTGTCTTCTTGTCTCCTTTTTTGTCATTGTCATTCTATCATTTCACACAGCATTAAGGGTGTTGGGAATTATGGAAAGGGAGGACAATAAGTGGCATGGAGTTTTGTTTTGGTGTTAAGAGATGGAGCTCGTACTGAACCATCTATATGTGTAGACAAAAGTAAAGAATAATGCTGAGCTGGACAGAACAAACAAAGATTCAGAGAAAAATGCAATGGTGTGGAATTGTGAAGAAGCTAGTGAACGTTTAAGTGTCTTCAAAATGACGACGTTCCCTAGGTCCTTAGTTTTAATTTGGTTCCTATTCTTATGAATTGTTTGCAATTAGGCCCCTACTGCGCCACCTGATTTCATTCAATTATGTCCTCGAATGTTCTTCAATTATTTTCCTAGAATTTTAATATTCCTGCATTGGCTCACACTATTTTCGAATTGCTTACAATTAAATCCATAATTAATCCGAAATAAAACCCTATTTTCTTTTGCCTTTTTTCTTTTCATTTCATTTTTTTCCCTTGTGTTGAGGACAAAATGATAAATAAACAATCAAAATAAAATTAGAAACTAATGAAAATAGTCATTAATAAACGTAGATTCACATAAAATCTACACTATGCGATAAAATAAAATAAATCTTAGCATATCATATCCATTTTTTAATATTTGATAATATTTATTTTTATTGTAGAATCAGACTAAATTAAATTTTATAACACAAAAACCAATATATATATATATATAACAACTAAAACATGCATTTTAATTAAAATATAAAACCTCTCTATTTCTTTTATTTTGAAAGAAAGACAAAAGTTTCTTACAATAGCATAATAATAAATATATATATATATATATATTATTCCAATTTCTTTATAACTATACTTATAAATAAATTAGTGAGAAAAAAAATAGTGATTATTATTTCTGAGTCTTTACCCTAACTATTAACTATTAAATACTTAAAGATAATTCAAATTTACATTCCTAATTTTGTGTTTTAAAAATCAAACATAATAATTTAATTATAATTAACTTACCAGATTTTATATAAAATTATTCATATTTTAAAAATCAAATATTTTCATATAATAACTGTGATGCCTTATATCCCATAGTGATGAGTTATCAAAAAATAGAAAAAATAAAAAATAAAAAGAATAGCTTATAAATTTATGTGCAATAAAAAAATTCTGAGTATGGTGAGAATAACTCAGAGTTGTACTTGTAATCCTACAGGGTATTCAATTGCACACTTGACCTCTCTGCCTCCAGTCACCGTGGATGCGCAATAAATCACTACTAAGAAGCTAGTGAACTTCTAACAGGAATGACAACTCAGAAGAGCTTCCTTGAATTGGAAATTGGAAACTCATCCTGTGCCCAAAACTCCAGCAAGCAACATTGAGGTCGAAAGTAAACATCTTTTTCCAACTGGAGGGAGCTTTTGAAAATGTCAACTTGATCTGTTGTCAAGAAATTGGAGTCTTACAATAGAATTATATTCAACATAAGAGACAAATTCCCATTCATCAAAGTGAGAGAAATGCAATTGAAGTGGTTAGCCACACTGCATTGCCTCTTTATCCTCATGGAAGGCACCTCTACTTCTCTCTGCCTCTTGAAGTTACAACTACAATCAAATTAAATGTGGTTAGAAGTTAGAATTATGAAACACTAAGACCTACTGTTTAACTTCTTCAAACAATGAATTAATGTGTAAATTTTTTCAAAAAAATGGAAGTTCATTTACATGTGAAAAACTAATCTGCCACTACAAAACTAGCAATCCTTTTCATCATCCAAGCTCTCCCCACTATTGAACCAAGGAACCTGATGTAACATCAGGTCCCACTCTTCAATTTATTCCAGCAATGTGGCTGTTCATGTTGACCTCTGCAAGAACTATATGTGGATTTCCACGTGCCGACACATCAAAAAACACAACAGCAGATCAATCCTTGGCATATAGCTCTTTTAACTGAAATAGGGAGATGCAGATTTTCCAGGCCCCGAAAACCGATGAACGGATTATACATATGGACTTAAACTGTGCTTGTCATAAGCTCTGTTCTGGTTCCCATTCTTGTTCCAGAATTGGTCTTGTCGTGTTGGCTACTCTGAACATCACTCGATGTTCTCGTTCCAGAAAGAGAAAGAGGAGAGTTAGTTAACATGATGAATTTATCTTTCTTGGTCCCATCTGAAATTGATTCTGTCCCAGACAGAATACGCTTGAGCTGGGATCGTTGGCAGGTAATTCGACCTTTGTTCCATCCAGGGTATGAAAATGATGATGGCACAATATCCTGCAGAAATGAATATACAGCCTTCCCAATTGGAAAATCCTGTGCAACTGAGCTTTTCTCCAACAGTCCCCGTCTGGTAAGGAAGAAAAGAAAAACGTCAACATAGTGAGAGCCACAGTTTCAGAAAAACATGAAACAGAAAATCAAGCCCAAAAAATATGGCACAGACTAAAAATGTTTCATGCAATCCAATTGAAAGATCTAAAAAATATTTGATATCGCAAAACGGAAAATCAAACACAAATACCATAGCACCTACTATCACCTTACAACTTTTCTACCTTTTCACTAGAGATGTACGACTGTGAACTGGCAACTATAGCATAACCTATCTGTGTTATATCATAATATCACTAGGTGTTAATTCCTAGGATATGCAGGGTTCCTGCTGGCGTAATTCACCTGCTAGTTATTCAGTCTTAAGATTATGCTCATTGGACCTGATCCCATATTAATCGCTTTCGTAACTAAACAGATGGTGACCACAGATGTCCAACTGAGTTCATTAACTTTCAGCGAAATACTTAGGACCAAGGATCAATTATTATAGCTGAATGAATTAATTATACAAGTAAACAAGCATACATTTCAGTATTTACCCACACATATATGAGTGCACAAATTTGTATGGGTGTGTGTGTGTGTAAAGAGAGAGAGGTGGGAGGGGGTTCTACAAGACCAGATATGCAACTGACTGGATAAGTGAAAGCTGGTCAAGATGGTTCAATCACAAGGGAAAGACCAATGAATGCACCAGCAAGTTGGACAAGGGAAAGCTGGTCAAGATGGTTCAATCAGAAGTGAAAGACCAATGAATGCACCAGCAAGTTCAAGACCTTGGATTGAGATTGTTAAACATCCAATCCATTGTGGTGCAAACATCCATATGCTATATAGGGCTAAATTCAACTGAATCAATATAGGATTACTCAACAACTTTCGTCCTAGCATTTCAGGGCATTGGATCTGCACAAACACAATATGTTTGACCCAAACAACAATAATATGCCTGACCTCAAACAACAGTAAGCAAGCCATGCATAGCACGTAAAGGAGGAGAGACCAGTTGAATTACAACCAATACGGGTTTGCTCTAAGGAGGCAATGAGACAACCTGGTATAGTTATAATGCAAGAAGTTTAACATAGCTCCAAATAAAGTTATATGCTGGGAACAGGTCGCATTGCTCCAAATAAAGTTATAGTTCCTAATAAAGTTATATACTGGGAACAGGTCATATTGCTGACTGTAAGTGATGAAGAATCAATTGAACTAAAAGCTATCTTTGTTGCACAAAAGTTCTCCCTCTCTCTGTCAGTCTCTCATAAGAAAGAAAGGAATAGTGCTGAGGAGAAAAGGACTTACACCACAACAACTGATGCAAGTTGGGGAAGATCCTCTCCATTCATGAACATCTCATACATGTTATTTAGCCAAACAGATATTGCTGTGTACATAATTCCTTCCCACATCCTGCAAAATCATCAACATAAAAGTTAAACAGATGTCATTCGAAGAAAAACAATTTGAACAGAAAGATTTCCTACAGTACCTGTGAATATCCACAGACCACACAAGTTTGCTTTTACGGAAAAGTTCAGGGAAATGCCCTCTCTTTGTTGCCTCACCAAGAACTCTTACAGCCCGTTCTTTCTGACCGAGCCACCATAGTGCTTCTAGAAGTGTATTATAAAACCTCATTCCCAAGCCATGCCCTTCAGAATTAAGTTTGTCAAAAACATACTCTACCATTTGCCAGTTAGAGTCATCATCAAAATCTCCCTTGATCATCTGCCCAATCACTTGATGGATATTTGACGCTCTATTTGTTAGCATCTCATCAAGCAGCTCATAGGCATCACTCCACCTGAAAACAAGGGGGCCAAGAAGTGAGATTGGATGGAAAGCCTAAATATGCATCTGTAGCATTTGCAAAATTTTGTGAACTAACAATCATAAAAAAGTTTTAATTCAACAAAGCATAATATCAGAATTGAATTTCTAGCTTTAAAAAGCCATTACAGCATGATGCAGACACCATAAACAACACAATAACATCATAAGAAAGCAGTGGTCCTACTTTAATCTTCACACCAAATTCACACAAAGAAAACAAAAAAGAAAGATATGTTACTACCAAGTTTCTTTTCCCAGTCTATTAATTTTGTGAAAGAAGAGAATAGCACTTCATCTAGGATTCAAAGTATCAGACTTAACATTTCAGTCAACGCTAATCCTATAGATTATGTGTCATTGATGAACATAGATAATCTTGCTTTGCTTCAACTATGACTTAGAAAAATCTTATATCCACAATTCTTACGTAAGTGAACCAGCATCTTCAACGTTGTACTGGCCTGTGTGGGCAGAAATCAACAAAACAGATGTTACTGCTGCTGAACTACCAAGCCAACACTTAATTTTGACACAGAAACAACTACAACCACATAAAACCTCAAAATTAATTTCAGACACTTATAAAGTTCTTGTTTCAACTCTGAAGCAAATGCTATTAAAAAATAAAGAATATTGGCCCATCCCAAATTTCTCATTGACAAACACCACCAAGATGTTCTGCAAAAAGGAGCAGACAATGTATAAATGTGAATGCTAAAACAGCATTCTACTCAGTCAATTAGAAAAAGTCTATCTGCCGTTTATGTCTAAGGCTACATCATCACTCTTATCTAATAGAAACCTAGTTAGGTTTCATTCAGAATGTGTTCCTAACATCTACAAAAAATTGACCAAGATAGCTTTGCACTCTGCTTTCAATTTCTATCGTATAAGCACATCACTAATGCCTGCATTACAATTAATGTTTAAAAATGACAATAACTGTAATCACGAACATATATTTACTCCCATGCAGATTTCATGTGTTTAGAAAACTAAGTGAATACTGACCTGTCACTCTTAGCATAAACAGCTAGCATCATACAATAGCATATGACATTTGGCAATACTCCCAATGCTCTAATTTCCTGAAATTGTTCCTCACTTTCATCAACAAGACCTGCAATGCAGTAAACACTTAAGACTGCCTCAAGTGTCCACTCATCGGGACCTAATCTAGCCTTTTCCATCTCAACATAAGCCTTAATGGCTTCTTCAAACTGACCACCTTGTCTAAAGCCTTCAATCACACCATTGAAGGAATCTCTGTCCCTAGCAACCCCAGATTCACCCATTTTCAACAAAATAGCTTCAGTTTCCTTGTATAACCCACCTCTTGCAAACATGTAAATCAGCGTATTGTAAGTCTCAATAGTTGGCTTGCTGCCCATTTCATTCATAGTATTAAATGTCACAAGAGCTTCCTCATACATTGCAGCTTGGCCATATGCCTCAATAACTCCAGTATATGCCTTCGAACTCGGTATCATCCCCTTTTCACTCATATGAAGTAAAATCTTCTTAGCATCATCATGTAGCCCGCCTTTCCCACAAGCAAATATTAACCCTTCATAAGTTCCCATATTCGGCTCCACATTTTCCTCCGCCATATCATGAAACAATGTCACCACCTCCTTATAATACCCACCCTCACCAAACACATCTATAAGTATATTATACATAGCCGCATCAGGCTCTGTGTTACTCACTTTCATCTCCAAAAATAGCTCTCTTACATCGCCATACCTCCCATGCTTCCCATACAAATCCAACAATATACTGTATGTCTCTGCATTGGGCACACACCCTGCTTCTTGCATCTGCCGAAACACTCCAGTAGCATCCTTAATGTTCCCAATTCTTGCATACGCCTCTAATAACACATTATACGATGAAATCTCAGGTAAATTCCCAGTAGAAGCCATTTCCTTAAGCAATTCGCTAACCTTGTCTAACCTATTCAATTTCCCAAATGTATCAACAAGATAAGTATAAGTTGTTATATCCGGCACTATCCCTCCTTCATTCATTGTCCTAAATACCATCTCTGCCTCATCCCCTAATCCCCTATTAGCACAAGCACTAAGCAAAGTATTATAAGTCACAATATCAGGTTGTATTCCTTCATGCCTCATTTCGGCAAATAAACCTAACAAACCCTCCCAATCTAACCCACCTCTCGCACACGAATTAATAACGGTATTATACGTCAAGATACTCGGCGAAACCCTTTCCTTCTTCATTCTTTCAAGTAATTCAAGTGAAACCTCATACTTGCCATTACGGCCGTATGAATTAATCAATGCAGTGTACGAAAACACACTGCGTGGCACTCCGTGCGCACCCATTTCCTCGAAAATATCACTGCATTTTTCGAGGAGGCCTTCGCGGCCTAACAAACTAATCATAATTGTATAGATATGCTCATTTGGCTTACACCATATTTGACGCTGCATATGCTTGAAGAGCCGTAACGACCTTTGCCAATCACCGCGCTGCGCGAATTCCTTGAAGACCAAAGCAAAGTCGTTTAGCGAAAGCTTGTTTTTGAAAACGTCGAGGCATCTTGCTATGCTGCCTCGCGGAGGTAAGCTGCTTAGTTTGTTGATTAGGGTTTCGACATCGTAACTGTACTTGCCTTTCTCGACGACTACGGAAGGGTTGCCGAGGACGAGTTCTTTCGGTTTAGCTCTGGCTTTTCCGGGGCCGGAATAGGCTTTCTGGTCGCTAGAGATAGAGATTAGTCGGCGGTGGGAAGGAAAACTTGGGAATGGGAAGGTGTGTTTGGATTTGAAGATTTTAGTGGAGATAGGTGAGGGGCTGGGGATGGAGAGAGAAGGAGAGAGGGTCATTTTCGTAATTTGGACAGCATGGGCTTTGGGAAGTCGAGGAAACGTGTAGAAAGTGGATTTTCTCGGGAAAACTAGGAATTTTGCAGTTGAATTTTCTCGGCAAATTGGTTTTTGGTTAGAAAATTTTGCAGAAAAGAGCAAGGGGATGGCCTGGAGAGTGAGAGCTTGAATTGAACTCGCTTGGAGAAGGACACGTGCAGTTTTGTGGATAACAGAGAAGAAAATGGAGCGGAATGGGTGGGTTTTGTTAATTGGATCTAACCCGGTTGTTAGTTGAAGTGTACCAAATATTGTTGGATCATATATTATTTGCATAGTAGGCACTAAAGACGATGGCGCGCGGTAATAAACTTTTCGAATAGGATGCAAATGGGTAAAAATCACGTGGGATCCTTTTGCTTTTTACATTTATTCAGATCCATCCTTCATATTTTGGTCAAATAGAACTCAATGCTTCCCATTTTGTCATTTGAAACCTTTCGATCAATTTTGTCGACCACTCGGTGAATGGCTAACCAAGTACTTTAAATTTTCTTATTAATAGTGATGAAGGAATATAAATTTACGGTTCATATTAAATTGGTTAAAAAGAGACATAAGTTAATTAGACTCTCTTCATCTATTTTCTTTGCATTTTACAAAATAAGAGGAATAACAATTAGTTTAGGTCATAAAATAAAAATATTTCAATATAATCATAATAAGAAAAGAAAAAAATTAAGGACATATAAGTACAAGATTCTAAGTTTTTAAAGATTCAACTAGAGATAGTCGAAGTGAAAAGGATCAAATTCGCCATAAATGCCGATGGTACTTGGCACTACCATGGTAGATTATGTGTCCCTATAATAAAGGAGCTTCGAGATGATATCTTAAAGGAAGATCATGCCACGCCTTACTCTATTCATCCAAGAAGTACTAAAATGTATCAAGATCTAAAGAAAATTTATTGGTGGAGAGGGGTGAAGTAAGACATTGTCGATTATGTGGTAAGAAGCTTGATAAGTCAACAAGTCAAGTTCGAGTATCAAAGACCTTTAGAATTGTCAAGGCCACTTAGATATTCTCGAGTGAAAATGGAAGCACATCAATATGGGCTTTATATTCGGATTACCAAGATGCGAGAGTGGAGTCGATAGTATTTTAGTGATCATTGATAGACTAACCATATTAGCTCACTTTTTAGCAATTAAGTCCACTTATTCCATACAACAATATGCAAAATTATACCAAAGAAGATCATGAGACTACATGGAATAATGATTTTGATTGTTTCGATTATGACCCACGATTCACATCATGATTCTATAGGAGTTTACATCATAAGATGGAAACTAACTTGAATTTCGATGCTGACTTTTCACCCACAAACCAATAAACGGAAAAAAAGGTTGAATCAAATTCTAAAGGACATGCTTCGAACATGTGTACTTGAATTGGCTTGTTAGGTGGGAACAATACATACCACTTAACGGAATTCTCTTATAATAACGGTTATCATACTAGTACTGGCATGGCTCTATATGAAGCATTATATGGACAATGTAGGATGCCAATACATTAGGATGAAGTTAGTGAACAAAAATTGCTAAGATCAAAACCGATCCAACAAACAACCAATGTGTTGGAACAAATCGGATCGAGAATGAAGATAGCTCGAGGTAGATAAAAGAGCTATGTCGATGTACGAAGGAAAGATTTAGAATTTATAGTCGACGATAGAGTATTTACGAACGTGGCTCTTATGAAAGGCATCATAAGGCTCGGGGAGAAAGTTACATTAAGTCCTAGATATAGTGGACCTTTTGAGGTACAAAAGAGGATTAAATACCAAGCTTATAAATTAGTTTTACCATCATCTCTCTCTTTGGTGTATAACGTCTTCCACGTGTCCATGCTACGAAAATATGTGGAAGATGCAAAACATATTCGAAGACTAAGCCATTAGAGATGCAAGCGAGTTTTGAGTTATGAAGAAGGGCTAGTCCAAATTTCAAAATGAGAAATAAAACAACTAAGAAACAAGTAGATTCCCTTTGTGAAAGTCTTATGGAGGAATCATAATGTAGAAAAAGGAACTTGGGGAAGAGAGGCAGAAATGAAAAATAAGTACCTAGAGTTTTTTAAATAAGAAATCCCGAGGACGAAATTTTTATAAGAAAGGAAGGATGTAAGAGCATTGACCTAAAACCTCCTAAATAATCATATATGTATGTATGAATGTTTAACTAAGTGTGTGAATTAATATTTATGTATGCATGAAAGCTATATTTGTTTGTGCATAAATATTATGAGATATAAAGGAAATATTTAGTACTTAAATTAATAAGTATGAATGGTTAATTATTGAGATATTAAAATCCTAGAGGGTTAATTAAAAAGTCCTAGGAATGTAATAGAAAGAAATTAAAAGTTTGGATACTTGATTGAAATAGTTAGAAAAATTTAGTGACCATTATGAAATTTGGAAATGCCTAGAATAAGGGCTGATTTGTATCAATTAAAAGTTGAGGGATCGAAATGTAAGGACTTGATTGAATTAATTAATAAAGTTTATGGACCAAAGCGTAACTTTTAAAAAAATTAAAAGACCAATTAATTCATCCTTTCTAGGCTGAACTTATATGAGAAAATGCAAAGGAAAATTGATTTGGACGGGCTGAACATTTGGTCAAGGCAAGGAAATAAAATCAAAGGAAAAATAAAGAAAGAAAGGTAAAGAAAATTCTAGAAAATTTTCAAGGTTAAGGAAAAAGGATGATTAAACTAATTGTCCATGCGCCAAGCTTAATCTTGGCAATCTTCTCCCTTTATATTTGGCCAAGATGCAAGGAAGAGAAGATGGATGAACAAACCAAAAACACTTAGAAACCTAAGGAAAATCAAGCAAATTTAAAAGGAATTAGGCAACATCAACCTTTAGATCCATCAAATAAACCACTTAAACATCCTAAAATCACCATTGGAAGACTTAAGGAAGCAAAGCAAAAGGGGAGGAGGAGAATAGCTCTTGGATGAAACTTGAGGGAAAGGATAGGAGAGGAAATTTTTCAAGCACCCAAGCTAATTACCTATCAAGCATCATTAAGGTAAGTTTAGTCCCAACTACACCACAAGAATTAATGATTTTGATGCTTAATTAATGATATATTTGAGTTTTGAAAGGTGTGGTTCATGATTAAATGATTGTATGTTTGGTTGATCTTGGTGAATTCGTGTTTAATTTATGTGTTTGATGGACAAATGAACATGATTAAATGTTTATTATGATTAAATTAAAGGATTAAAGTTAGAGAATTTAAGGAGGAGGGTTTCAACCAAATTAAAGAATAGAGAAGATTAGGTTGATTTTATGCAATAATGATATGATTATATTTAGAAGGTTGATTGATTAGGGTTAAATGTGTTGAATTATAAAAAATCATCGTTGATGTTTATGTTAGGGTAATTCGGCCAAACCCTAAATTTTAGGATTAATTGAATTAATTAGTATATTTGTCAAATTATATGTTTACATCTTTGATTGATTAGAATTAGATGTTTAGATGAAAAATCTACATGGGTTAGTTCAAGAGAGATATTAAGTCAAAACCCTAAGTATTTAAATGATGTGGTTTGTTAGGGTTTAATGATATATTAGAGTTAAATGAGATGGATTAACATGGAATAATATGTTTAAATGTGAAAATTTTCCTTGGTTGGATGATGGTGGCATTCGGCGAAATGGGTGATTTACATTGATTGCCTAATTAATTGAATTTATGATGGATTAATGTTTATTTAAGCATGTATAAATGAATAGATACGAAAATTGTTTGGGAAGATGCTAGAATGTGTGAGGTGAATTTGGTTGATTAATGTTAAATTTTGAGGTTTGATGTATTTGTTTTATTTAATGGTAAATTCATGTGTCATGATATATTTAGTACATGTTTATGTTTATAATGAGGTAACATGTACAAATGAGTAATAAGCATGCATATTTATGGAAAATGGAAACGGTTATGTATGTTATTTGTATGCATTTCATGTCATAATCATAAAAGGATTTTTTTTCATGATTTTCAAAGGAAAACAAAAAGGAAATGCATGATTTTTAAGGAAATGGCTAGGTAGCTCCAAAAAAAAAAATGCAAGAGAAATGATCATCCTTTCGTAAGGAAATGCATGATTTTTACAAAATACATGTTTACAAAGGGCCAATTAATTACACGATTGACAAAGTGCGTCCGAAAAAGGAAAATGAATTTCAAAAAGGCACGAAAGGATTTTTAAATTGCTTCACATGCATTTCATGCATAGATTACATTTATTGGGCATAGCTCATTCTTATTCTTGTGGTGTAGGTGAAAAAGATAAGAAATGATGAAACATTTTGAAATGATAGTCATTGTCAAGTTCAAGTCAATTTGCCGATGGGTGTATTTAAAATTTACTTATGAGTTAGAGAGTCTCAACTTTTCCTTTTTATCATGTTTTGGAACCTTAGTATGTGTATTAGGGTTTATACTTATGGTTTGTAAAATAATTATGCACTAGGATTGTAACATTCGATACCCATTAAAAGCATTATTTAATAAATTTAAGGATATTAAAGACATCTAAAAATTTTTTTGAGGGAATGGAATAATCCACAAAGGGTTGAAAGAATATTTAGAGCAATTAAGATAGTCTTCCTATACTCAATGAATATTTTGCTGATTTTACGGTGCATGCATAATGACTTTTTGTGTGAAATAATTATTTTAGGCATGTTGTATGTGCACGAAAAATATTTTGTTTACATAGAATATTTGCTAGAGGTGTTTTAAATTATTCGATACTAGTGGATGAATTTTTTGATAGTCGGTGAATATTTTATTTGAGTTTTACTTGTGCATAAATAGTGTTTTGAGCTAAATTAATTATTTAAGTGCTTTAAAGGCATGAGGAATTTTTTTTATGAATATAGAAAAATCATTGAGGATGTGTAGGAGTATTTCATGAAGTTAGATGTATTT